TTGAACTACTCTATGGGTTTCTGATATTTTTAAAGTGCGCCTGAACAGCCTCTATCTATCAACTCTCGAACTATCAATAGGAACTGCGCAAATTGTACATTGTAAATTATGTAAACGCTTGGAAAAAGCTCATTTTATGAAGCAATCTAATTTCCGATGAGTGGTTTTGACTTTTCAATCGATACCAAACTAAGACCCAGTTTAATTTTGTTTTGAAAGAGGTTCGTTTAAAAAATGGATTACCTTTATATAGACTTTTCATTGTTTTGGCAAAGTGTTTAGCAACGCAGAAACAATAAACAAGCATTAATAAAATAGGCAAGTTTGAATAAGCCTTGCTGCCGTTTTTTTTTTCTATTTTATGATTCAGTTTGTTTATATTCAGATGAAAGTTGTCAGTAATTCATAAGGAAAATTTCTTTGGCTGATGCCAATTTCAACTTTAGGCCAATACATTACGTAAATGTTTGTATTTACAAACTGCAAAGCCCTTTTCATAGGCACAGGCCGTCGGTGTTTCTTGAATCTCCATACGAATATAAGCGCTTCTACTTTTTTATATACTTAATACAGTGTACATAGTAAGTACATGGTTTTCATCGTTGGTCCATTGGAGATAAGTAGAAAAAGATGCACTTAGAAGTAATAAGAGAAGAAAAGAAAAAAAGAGTTGTTTCTTATGGTGTTTTTTCTTTCGGTAGCATACAGCATAAATATATCAAAATACGTAACTATACATAACTCTGTTGACATGCAAGAAAACTGTGAATAAATAGAAAAAGAAAAATTGTATATAATATCACGAGGTAGGCTATTGTATGAAACAAGAGTATCTACAATCTCGTTTGAAGTCAAAAATTAGCATATTTTATGACCGTCACAGATTCCTTCTTTGCAAATTCAATCTGTCCTTAGGTCGAATGATGACTGGCGTCTTTTATATCAATTGTAAGGCCATTATTTTCATACGCAATTGACTACGGGCTTCTCATGTGTGTTACCTGTGGGGAAATAATTGATATTTAATGGCAATTGCCTAATTCTTATCCCATTACATTTTTTCTTGCAATGTCAACATCATTATGTAGTAAGAAGACATATTTATTTTGCATGTCAACATAACTACTATATCTTGCATATCGACATAACTTATAAAATAATAACTTGCATATAAGGACAGAAATATTCAACCATGCTCTCTCTCTCTCTCTCTCTCTCTCTCTCTCTCTCTCTCTTGTAACCACGTGAGTTTGACCACATTGTGAGTGCTGAGTATTATTATTCACCACGGAATTTCATAGGTAGCAATTGCAAAATTTTCATTGTTCTCGCCTTGTTTTTTTTTTAATGTTTATCGGAGAGGATATTCCCCTTTTTGTTTCCTTTTTTGTTTAAATTGGCTGCATTTTACAATGTAGTTCCTTACCTAATTCTAAAAAAGAATAATAGGGGTGTATGTCCATGAATGTAAAAGTTGAAGATGACGAACAGAGATTAACCTCATACATCCAGTACAGAATGTGATTTGGAAGCAAGACAAGAAATACGAACCCCTGCAAACGCCAGAGGTGGGATCAGGTATCTAGGAGAAGTGAGCATCAAAAGTCGTTAGGCTCACCCGCTGTGAGCCCTCTGTATTGATCAGGTAAACGGAGTTATCAGTTGTCGAAATATCATGGAAAAAATGGCACAAAGTACGGACATTTAACAGATACTTGTGGATGAAAACTTTGTAACATCAACTTATGTGTCAGTAGCCTGCCTCGGATTAAAAGCTTATCGTACTTATAAGTTTTTGAAGATAAATATATATATATATATATATATATATATATATATATATATATATATATATATATATATATATATATATATATATATATATATATATATATATATATATATATATATATATAAAATTTTATATAAAAAGCACTAAAAACCTACAATACTGTATATCCTAAGTGTCGGATCTACTACGTAGATACAAGGTCACGGATGGAAATTTATAAAAAGCACTAAAAATGACCAACGACACGAACAATAATAATTGTCAAATTTTCGGGAAGACCTGTCCCTTCCTCAGGACAAAGAAAAAGTTAAGAAGTCATAAAAACAAAGGAAATAGAGAAATAAAAACAACTAGCACTACTACATGTTTAACTTGAAGTTTATAAACAGTTGTGAACAAAGAAATCCAGAGCGCAATTTTAAAATATAAATTTGGATATATTGTAAATTTGGAAATCGGATAAAAGAAATAAACAAAAATGTAAGCTGTAAATATTTGGGTAGGTTGTTCCAGAATTGCTAATGCCAATTAACGGTAAAGTTTACACTATATAGAGAGAGTGAACTTGTTTGTTACAATCCGGGATTGGATCTAGTTCACGTTCATCCTGGTGAAGTCATTTAGTTTGTTAATTCCATTAGGGTGGAATGACTTCAGCCTGTGCATCCAGAACTTTTCCTTGCCTTTTCTCTGAGCGTCTGTCCATCTTGGGTTATGGTCAATAACCACTACTGTCATGTCCTCCCATTTGTGACTTTCAAGGTTGAAATGTTCCCCAACGGGTTCATTGAGTTGTTTTTTTTAGAACGGTGATTATTGACTCTCCTGCGGAGATCTGTTTCACCAACATACTGTTTGGAGCAAACTTTGCAACTGATGAGATAAATGCAGTTGTTTGTTTGACAGGGCAAATTCCCTAGTATTTTGTAGCTGCGGCCTGTAACGGGGATGTTAAAGCTATCTGTGTCAAAGCTGTGCTTACAGAGAAGACATCTTCTGTCAGAGCAAGTTCTAAAGCCCCCGTTAGGTAATGGATTGTCCAATTTGGTTCTTACTACAATGTCCTTTAGGTTCCTCGGGCGTCTGTATGCAGCCAATGGGGCTCCTTAAAGACCTCTGCCATTCGTTTATTTGAGTGGAGAATTGGCTGATTCTTTTGAAGGATACCGCTAAGGTTCTGAAGGACGGGATGGTATGTGGTTACCAGAGGGATCCTGCCGCTATTGTCTTCTTCCTTGTGCCCTTATAGGTTTTGCCTCCGCAGGAGAGTCAATAATCACTGTTCTACCATTAGGACCAAAAACTCAATGAACCCGTTGGGGAACATTTCAACCTTGAAAGTCACAAAGGGGAGGACATGACAGTAGTGGTTATTGACCATAACCCAAGATGGACAGACGCTCAGAGAAAAGGCAAGGAAAAGTTCTGGATGCACAGGCTGAAGTCATTCCACCCTAATGGAATTAACAAACTAAATGACTTCGCCAAGATGAACATGAACTAGACCCAACAAGTTCATTCTCTCTATATAGTGTAAACTTTACCGCTAATTGGCATTAGCAATTCTGGAACAACCTACCCAAATATTTACAGCTTACATTTTTGTTTATTTCTTTTATCCGATTTCCAAATTTATAATATATCCAAATTCATATTTTAAAATTGCCCTTCCATATTATCTTTCTTTAATTTCCTTTTTACAAAGTATAGTTACGCTATTTTGAGAGAATAAGACAGTGTACGATTTACTGCTTGTTCGTAATTAATTAGCGATAATTAATTCGTTCAATTATGTAAATCGCACTTCACCAGAGTACACCCGATAGACCGGACGCAATTCATGGCGCTCTGGATTTCTTTGTTCACAACTGTTTATAAACTTCAAATTAAACATGTAACACTGTAAATATTTAGAGTTTGGTAGTTTAGTAGTAGTGCTAGTTGTTTTTGTTTCTCTATTTCCTTTATTTTTATGACTTCTTAACTTTTTTCTTTGTCCTGAGGAAGGGACAGGTCGTCCCGAAAATTTGACATTTATTATCGTTCGTGTCGTTGGTCATTTTTAGTGCTTTATATATATATATATATATATATATATATATATATATATATATATATATATATATATATATATATATATAGATATATATATATATAGATATATATATAAGTTAAAAGCTGAATCCAATTTGGAAAAATGACATAAAGTTAAATACCACGCTCAATAAAAATGACAAAAAAGCAAAATGAGTTGTGATAATAATCTTTGGTAAACTTTAAAAAAAAAAAAGTAAAGGTAAATGGTTTTGTAGTGTCTGGGCTCAATCTCAAGCCTCTCTGTTTTTGATTTTGTGCTTTACCAACTCAGGTACAAGAGAATTTCGATCATTTAATTTTGTTTTCAAAGCTTTGTAATATTATTGCCATGCAGAAGAGAGAAAAAGAAAGCATATTATTTAAATTTTATAATAATATATATAATTAATGACGTTGTCATGCCAATTTAAATTGGTACCTCTTTTTATATTAGCTCCTCCTTGCATGAATATTCATTAACTTAATCTTTAATCGGGGACAGATAAGTGTAAATTCCCAAAATTTCCAAAAGAGTAAGGGCGAAAACACCCAAGTGTTTTATTGCAAGACAGTCTAAAATCATTAAGACATATTCGATTTCTATTCAAAATTGGCCAGGTTCCATTGCAAATGAACAAAAATAATTGTGACTAAGATATGAAAGTGACAGAAATAACAGAAAAAACGAAAACTTTGTGTTAATTAGAGTCACCCTTTTTATGCAATGGGTTATACTGGTTTTGATGCAATCAGAAAAATACACGCATGCCAGTTAGAATATTCCTAAACACAACTTTTCATTTGCATTTAACTAGTGTACATGGAAAATTTCGCACCCGTCATAATTTTGCTCCTTTCATCCTGGTCGACAGGGGACATTTTCAAATAAGGCGATTTAACGGAGACAGTTACATTTATCAACCCTACCTGAGAGAATTTCAAATCCGATGAAAATGTTTGCAAGTATAATGGGGCGAAAATAACCTTGTACATAGAATATAATTAAAACATATTCTACTTGGTTGGGCTATACTCCTCTAAATGAAATGCAGGACGAAAATAAAGTGAATATACATATCCCTTAATTTTTATTTCCATCGATTAGTACATTAACTGTGAAACCGACTTAAAAATCTTGTACAAATTACAAAAAATTTTCTTTTACAGTTGCAGTAATGCTTTCACAGGTAAGGTTTTATTGTCTTTATATTTTTAAGCTGCATTGATTACAAAAGATTTTGAAATATTAGATTCAGATCTTGTATTCTTATTGTTCAGTGATAGTCATAAAAATGGTTGACGTCTTTTCAAATCTTAAGTTTCAGGTCCTGTATGTAACCATATTCCATTTACGTTTTAATATTCCCAACGTACCTAGGTCTTATTATCTTCATTTAGGTTATATATGTATTCAAACTGTTTGTCGTTTATTCTCTATAAGCAAGTGTTAACCTTTTGGAGAATCACCTTTTATATCTTCCTTTCTTGCGTTCAAAATGTATTATAATCTGGAATACATTTAGTTATAGAAGATATTTCCTTTTACACATGATCCTGTGATATCATCAAATAATGAAAATCGTAATACTAAATAAATATTATCACTGGTGCAGGGCAATGCATTGAAAACCGTCTCTGAAATTAGTACCAAGTCATGCACAGACACGAGAGGGATGATTTGTATTCTCCCAGCAAAAATCAATTGCACGAATTCCTGCATGAGTAATGATACACTGATTTGTCTTCAGTGCAAAGTGGAGGATATTCAGACAATCGTGAGTATTTTGCAATGCTGTTGAATATTTCGTCCTCAGTAATTATTCCTTCAAGTCATTGGTCATTTCGAAAGTTAGAATTACTTCGAATCCAACACGATGGTCAACAAACAAATTAACAAACTTTTTTATTTAAAGGTAACTATAGAGGGATTTATATTAGTGGTTCATTTTATTGCAGAAACAAGGACAAACTCTAGCTAAACAGCTTACTGACACCTGCTCTGATTCTAGAATGACGTGTTACGGCGAAACCAGGTTGCACAAGCATATATTAAACTGGAACAAAGACAAGCTGTTGGATACATGCAGTAAACCCCTTACTATACAACAGGTGATTGACAATAACTATTTCTAAAATTAAGTTTCTTACACTTAATATATGCCCCATATAACAAGAAAAAAGCGTATGTCTTTGCCAAAGTAATGGTGATTCTGAAAATGGGAATTTGTAGACCTGAGATCTAGTAGGAGACAGGGAAATTAAGATAAACAAGATAATTTAGTTTGGTGACCTCGTAAAGCCCTAGCCATATTTGGCAGCAAAACAATTCGAAATATTGGAAATAACTTCTTACAGAAATATATCCAAGTATATATGAAAACATGCTTGAAACCACACAAAAACGATAAATCAAACAAATTTCATCAAGTAGTCGAAGCGTGAAAAGTGTGGATATTCGAGGTTTTCATAGAACCTTTAGTTCCCAACAGACTGTGTTAATCCATGTTTATCTAGACATTCACATGGAAATGAATGATAATAACTATTCTAACGAACCTGAACCAATTTTTTTCTCTTTATCATTTCTATATCTAGGTCATTTACAATATCACTCTACATGCATCAGTTACTTAGGTACTTTTCAGTGTGTTAAAATCTTCATTCAAAATTTAACTCATTTCTAAAATAAAACAGAAATTTTTCTATTTGGAAATTTTGACAATACGATATTGAATTAATTCTTTGCAGGGGCATTTTCCAGTATACAGTGATATAAGTGACACAATAACATTCTCCGAAAATACAAAATGCACAGGAAATCCAGAGTGTCCCAGGAAACAGTACGAATCTAGTGAACTAAGTATGTAAAATGTAAATCATTAAAAAAATCCACCGACTCTGTAAAGTTAGAACGAGTAGTGAAATATTTAAAATTTGACATTAAAACTTGGGTAAAAACTTAATTTCCTATTCGAAAAAGTACAAGTCTTTTACATATGTACCACTATGTGCATGATATCAATGTATTTGCTGTACACTGTAAATGGATTTTTGCAAAAATATGTCCACAGCTGGTTATTGGTTTTAAAACGATTTCATTGCTTGCATGGTAAAGCTTCTAGAATCTAGGAAAGTTCCGTTATTTTCCAAACAAAATAAGTTCTTTGTGCTTAAAATGCATGAGTACTTGCACATTATCTACATGTATATATATTTCAGCTATGGATTACAAGAATTTTATAAATGGAACATTTCCTTGCGAGAGGTATTGTAACTTTTTTTTTCTTCAATCACGAAAATTTGATCCCACGAAAATAAGTGATTTTACAGTAGACTTCTACATCGCTCATAAAAAATATTGATATATTATACAAATTAACTAGGATTTATACAATATTCTGCAAGCATTTGTACAACTATTTCTCGATACTGATATGCTTATTATATCTTAAATAAGTCGACAGATTTTATATCTCAGTGATACATTAGGTGTGAGCTATGGGCTATTCCTCTTTCTTCAGAGTGCAATTAATATTTGTTAACTCTGAACACTTTTGGATTCATCTCTGAAATTTTTTACATCAATTTTGCCCAATACAGGATAATAACAATGTACATGCACTGCGTGTCCTGCATGGTGAAGGAAAATTAAAAAAAAAGAATGCATTCCATATTCCCAAAATACTATTAAATTAAGCTTTCAAAATGCATGTATAAATGTATTGGATTCTAACACATTTTCTTACCTGAATGTATTGTGCACACTGCTCGCATGATGGTTACAAGCAATCTGTCCTCTTTCAAATTCATTTCTATGACATCATGATTCAGGCTATACCTTTAGATATGTTTATAACCCTGTGAACAAATGATTTAGATTTGTATTTTTTTTTCAGATCAATTTCTGACCTTCTTTTAATCAATAAATTTCAATCTATAACCGTAATGTCTAATGTTGTGGTACAAATAATCTGTTGTCCTTTTCTCAAAAAATTCGGGTGCGTATCATTACCGCTACATTTTCAAAACTGCCATTACCTCTACATACCCATTACCGCTACAAAAAGGTTACATTACCGCTACATTTAAAAGTATACATTACCGCTACATTGCCTCTTTCGTTAGCCAGCGGATTATGTATGTACAGATTGATTTAATTTAAAGTACGACATATACATATATACATGCATTAGACCTTTTCCCCTGCTCACCACTGGGAGGGGAAGGTAAGTCTTTGATCAGAATGTTTCTAGGTTTTTCTCAATTTTTGTTTAAAATTTATTTATTTAATAAAACATTTTAGAAAGTGTTAAAACCGAGCATTGATCATGGATAAAACACATAGTCTTAACATAATTGGAAGACCTTTGAAGGCCATTTGCTTGACGTAAAATTCAATTTAATTTAATTAAAATAATATGTTCCTGTAGGAATATTTTTTTTTTCTTTTTCAGTCCCGAAACCAGAAATGGAGGAATTCTGAACGATGTATCAAAGAACACACTAGTCTTCTATACAGTCCTTTGCTTTTCATATTACAACATGTTTGTTTTTTAAAAGAAGATGCGTGAGCAAGGCGTGCAAAATGCATAATTTATAAAAATTCACATGTATCAAAAAATTAAATTCAATTTTCGAGCAAAGATGTGATTGTTGAAAGGTATGAAATCATTACAAACAAAACTTTTTTGCGTAAATATCCTCCCGAATTAATCTCGCAAATTATTCAATCATTTGGTAAAAAAAAATTTAGAATTTGTGGGGGCTTGAACCTGAGCGACAAAAAAAATCCTGGAAATGAGCTTTCTTAGATACTGACACGCTAACCACTACACTATACTATATGGTTCATGCCAGGTAGCGGTATTTAAATCGTGTTTGTAATGTGACCCTTGAATAACTGGACTTACATGTAAAACATTTCTCGGAAGGATACGAATTTTGAGTCATAAAAGTGTATTTTTAACGTAAAGTGGGTCTGTGCTCCATGTTTCTTTGTGAAGCAAAAAATATATATTTTTAAACATACTTTGAAGATATACTTTTTAAAAAAAAAAAAAATCGAGCAAAGACCCTCTTATATATAATATGAAGAAATGATCAGTTTTTCCCTCTCTGGTGTATGCGTGCTATTTCATAGACTTGGAAAACCAAGCTAATTTTAACATTTGCGAGATTTCTACCAATTTTGGAGATTTTACAGAACGTATATATTAATGTTGAGTGAAATACAGAAAGAAATTGCGTTATAATTGAGATTTCATTTTTCGCTTTCTTATTTATCGAACCATGGGCATTTTCTGTGCTTTTTTCGCCCATCTTCTTTTCATAGAGTGTATAAATAGGCTAGTATGTTTGTAGTTTATTCTTACATGTATATAACAATGTGTCTGAAATAATTTATGCAAGAATGAAAATTGTCAAAAACTAAAATACGAATTAATAACTGAAACGTATTTGTAAATGTAAGTTTGTAAATTCTGCAATTAATTTTCGGAATCAGTAAAAATATATGTATTTTATTTAACTTTAAGAATGGCTACCAAGCATACGTTTAAAAGTGAAGCAATTATATTTAAAAAAAACATTTGTCAACATTCCAGAATGATGAAGAAATAAGAAAGACTACATGAAAAAATATTCTTATACATGCATGTACTCATAGTTCCCTTTCAAAGAATGAAATTCTACAAAATCAAGTTAGAGTTTTAGATACTTTTAATATTTTCCAGTCAATAGACGAATTTGTTTTACAGTACGTATATGTATACTGGATTCCAAAATTTCATTAAAAAATCCTTACAAAGATATATTGCAGGATCCAATTAATGTTCAACCAAACTCTATCTTTACTCCTTTCTAAAACATTTACTTTAGTTGAGTAGAAACTTCAGACTAAATGGTGTATAAGTGGTGTTAATGAAATATTAGTATGTATTCTCCAAAACTCTGAAGAGCTTTAAAAAAATATTTAAAAATCACTTTTTTTTTTCAAAACTCAATAACATCAAAACGTTTTCGATGCTGTATACAACATTTTTTTCTCGATAAATTTTAGATCAGGCCTTTTGACAGCAAAAACAACTGCTTCTTTATTAAAAAATGGTACGTGCAAGTTTTCATTTGATTAGTCATCTGCAAAATTACTTTGTTAAGAATTATTATTATGTACACATGTTACTCTGAAGTTGATAATTAGAGAGATGCTGGCAATATCTTATATAGATTTTGGAGTCCAGTTCTTCCAACAATCTGTTAAAAATCCGATGGATACTAATTGTGCCCCTTCATTAGCCAACTTGTTTTATATCCTTGTGAAGCAGAATTTATTCAAAAACTTTTATATGAGAAGAAATTTCTTGCTGTGGCTTTAAATGCATTTCGATATATCGACGACGATTTATCAATTATGGATCATGTCAACTCGATATATCCCAGTGTACTCGAAATAAAAGACACTACAGAATCTGCCACACCTGGTTTCACTGGCTCTGTCATTCTAGGATAAATGGACCAATTCAGGGTATAAAACATGAAAAAAATATTGTTTCAAATATCAAAATGAAAATCATAATTCTCTAAAGAACATATCAGTGAACTTGAAAAAGAAAAATTGTCCCCAAATCGGGTATCGTTAACTTTTTACAACAATTTTAATATAGCATTGATTTTAAGGTAATGTTACGGAAGTTAATACTTGAACAAGTCTTTTTATTTTTTAATAAAGCTGAATTTGACCAATTTTTCGTTTCTGATGTTCAGTATAGAACGCTAAAGTATGATTCATGAAGTCTCGCATGAATCCGAAATTAAGTTAAAATTTCGAAAATTTCGTTACGGAAGTTAATTCCCAGCAATAAAAGTTAAAATTCTCGGCAATATTTAAAATTAGAGTTTGTTTTAGGATATTAAACAAAATAATAAAAATCTTTAAAAATCTTTAAACCTGAATTACCGTTACGGAAGTTAAATTTTTAAGCGAGACAACTGTTTTTGTCTAAGGTGGCAGGGGAAAGTTTCGTACTAAAGACCCGTCAAATTTCTTTAAAAACTGAGATACCCCCTTGACTTAAGGTTTCTAGAATGAATTATCAAGTAGATATACTAATAGATCATGATCATTTCCAAGTGCACTAGAAGTCTTTTCTTGACCAGTTACTTACTTGGAAGATATTTACTGGGAAATTTATTACCGCTTATCTTCCGCATGCTCCATAGGATAAATTTTCTGGATGAGTGAATAAAATTTAACCTAATAATTCTCAAGCACGTACACTCACATTGTTGCATTGACAATTCTAATTAAAAAATCAAGCTTTGGATTCGGAATGCAACATATTTTTTCCAATCAGTACTCGGCTTACAAGAAAATGACCAAACGTGCAGAAATGTAGGTTTCATGTTACATATACTATCATGCAACCGTATTTTGGACGCTACATTTGATCAGTTTCAAAATATTGCAATAAACGACTTACATGTAGTCGCCTGATGCATGCAGTGAATCAAAATGTCCTACGCTCCAGATGACGACATCTGGCTCGTGATTGACTTAGTGTTGTGAATCTGTCTCTAGCCTGTAAAACTAAATTTTCAACTACTTTATCAATGACATGAATGATCGAACTGGCTTCGAAAATCCCATTTTTATTCCTGTGTGAAATATCTAGATACTGAAAGAAAAAACGACAAAAAATATTAGAAAATGTGGCTCGAATCCTCAAACTTATATGAACGTTTGCGAGGAAAGGAGATTCGCATTTTTTCCTAGACCAGATATGTCTTTTGATGAGCTTCGGGAAATAAATCTCTTACAGTATTTAACAACTGAACTACTACAACAATGTATATATGTAATAATATGCGATAGACTTAAGATGTAACATTACTGAAGTAATATGGTGCGTTAGTTTGCGATTGTTTTCTAAGCCTTTGTGGTGGTTTTGAAAACTGCTATGCTAATTATCTAAGATCTGAGATTTAGAGAAATTAGAAATTACGTTGCATCGAGGTACTAAAATGCAGTTTGTCGACCTCGTAAAGCAAAGCCATTTATTGAAGCAAAACTCTGCATGAACATGAGAATACCTTCGTTTAAGTATAAATGAATTACTATAATAGATTCCATGACTCAAAAGCGAGGTACAGCAAGATTCACCCATTTGTCAAGACAGTGTCAAGCTTAATTGGGTATTTTAGGTTTTTTGTTGATACAAGCGTGCATTCATATTAATACAATCTTTACCAACTAGGTTGTCTAAAGCATGCCTTGACAATAATAATAAGAGAGTAATTTTAAATGAATGCAGGGTTCTGGACACCACAGACCAAACCCATTGTCAATAATAGATCTGTTTTCGAGATTAAACGTTCGAATCACGGCCGCAACTGATCTAAGTCGATAAAGAAATGGGTAGCAACTGTTCCTTCGCCAAGCGCTCGGCACTTTGAAGTGAAAGTTGCGGGTCCTTCGGATGAGACCTTAAAAACCGAGGCCCCGTGTCACGGCAGGCGTTGGCACGATAAAGAACCCTCACTGCTCAATGGCCCTGAGTGCCGAGTAAAGGTCTAAATTTGAAGCCCCTCACCGGTATATGGTGACGTCTCTATATGAGTGAAAAATTCTCGAATGGGACGTACGTAAAACAACATACAATCAATCGAGATTAAACATTGTCTGGGCATCATTTTAGTGCATGCTGGACTAAGCATCACAACAATCAATGGCTACCGGTAACAACTTCCTATGTAAACAGGAACATCTACATGAGGATATTTTATATCCTGGGAATTAAATTCTGCATATCTTGTAATCCTACATGGTATGGAAATGAAATAAAGTGCTGTAAAAGCAAGATGTCCTACTTCTTGTGATCATTTTTACCAATAATAACAGCTGTCCCTCTCTCACCTCAAGTTGGAAATATCGTGCAAAATCAAACAAAATAGCCCCCCCCCCCCCTTCATCACATCCAAATTCATGATAATTTTGTGTTTTCATACCTTTTAAACAGATTCTGTAACTATTCTGTGTTGAATTTGAAATATACTGAAAAGAAAAAGAAACGCAGGGTAACATAATATGCTAAATATTTTTAACTTCGTGGCCTAAAATTATGAAAACTGGTCAGAGGTGTATCTTGGTTTCGGTGTTCAAAATTACTCAACCGTGAAATGCATGACGTCACGTACGGAAAGTTATAATTAAAAACCCAAAACACGTGCATATTGATGATGACAAGACTGTTAACATATTTCATAGCACCACCTGATGCACTGAATGTATACACATCGTTTTTCCATATTTACAGTCAATATGAATTTGTTGCAATCATGGCTGACGGAAGTTTTATATTGGGCCTAGTAATTGAGTTGCCTAAGTGAAGAAAAAGGCAACAACGTGTTGCTGTGAAGTTTGTTATTAATTTTTCCACCATAGAACATTTAATCCATTGTCAAAGAGGAAATGGAATGGTTTCCAACAAACCGTGACGATGACGTTGACGTGTAACAACGGCACATCAAGATAGGGCTTTTCATCCTACCATCTAATACAGCAATCATAGTCGTTACATTACACCTAAAACTGAAAGAAATCGAATCTCGCTCTTTTGTCCATGGGCTCGTCAACTTTACGTCAGTGTTACTCTCACTTGCGCACATACAATGGAATCTAGCTAAACAATGCATAATCCTTCAAAACAAGAGGCCCATGGGCCACAACGCTGCCCTGAGTAACTTTGGCCTTGCTGTTCTTCACTGGATTTTCCCACTTGTAATACTTATTTTAGCCCCAACCTACTCCCGGGGGTCATGATTTTGAAGAACTTAGAATCTGAAATACCTTAGGAAGCTTCCCTGTAAGTTTCAGCTTTTCTGGTCCAGTGGTTCTTAAGAGAAGATTTTAAAGATATATATATATTTGAATGTAAAACTTGGATTCCCTATTGTGGCACCGTATTACACCCCGAGGGCCATGATCTTAACAAGTTAGAATCTACACTACTCCAGGATGCTTCCTTATGAGTTTCAGCTTTTCTGACCCAATGGCTCTTGAGAAGATGCTTAAAGATTTTTCCTATATATTTCAATGTCAAACTTTGATTCCCTACTGTGGCCTTACCCTACCCAGGTGTCATGATTTGAACAATTTAAAAGCTACACTACCTGAGGATGCTTTCACATAAGTTTCAGCTACTCTGACTCAGTGGTTCTTCAGAAGAAGATTTTTTAATGATCCTACCCTATTTTTGTCTTTTCTAATGAATTATCTTAATTATCTCCTTCTGTAAGAAGACTTGGCCCTTTATTTTTAAAACTTAAACTCTCCTTTACTTACTTACTACTTAATTGTATGCCTGCTACCCCTTTTGATGCATAGGCCGCTAACAAGATTCCTCCAGGCCCCTCTATCCTGAGCAATGCTTTCTACCTCCTTCCAGTTCTTGCACATTCTTTTAAAGTCTGCCTCCAGATCTATCCACCAGGTGTTCTTTGGCCTACCTCTCCTACGTTTTCCTTGGGGTTCCAGGATAGGGATTGCCTTGTGATGTTATTGTGGGGCTTGCGTAGAGTATGCCCTATCCACCTCCACCTTCTCTGCATTATTTTTTCTTCTATAGAGGCTTGGTTTATTCTTTACCACAAATTGATGTTGCTAATTTTGTTGGACCATCTAATCTGGAGGATGCGTCTCAGACAGGAGTTGACGAATGTCTGGATCCTGTTTGTTATGGTAACGGTCATCCTCCATGTCTCAGAACCATAGCGAAGCACTGCCTTAACATTGCTGTTAAAAAGCCTAACTTTGGTGCATGTTGTAATTCCCTTGGAAACCAAGGAAACTCTCCTTTACCCAAGAATAATTTGTACCAGCTTTGGTTAAAATTGGCTCATGGTTCTTGAGAAGAAGTTGAAAATGTGAAAAGTTTACAGACAGATGGATGGATAGCTGCAGAACTGTAGCTCTCTGCTTGAGAAAATTCGGACAAACAAAGCAGAGAGCTACAGATCCAAGCATTGTAAAAACCTTCGATTGGAACCGTTGAAAGGTAAATAAAGTATCAGGAATAGGAGTAAAATATATGGTTAATTATCGGATACTATTTTTAAAGTGGGGGAAAGCATAAAATACAAGAAATAATACCGAGTCGAGCGACAAAAAAGCGGCGGCGTAAATCGAAGGTTTTTACAACGCTTGGATCTGTAGCTACAGTGTAGCTCTCTGCTTTGTCTGTCCGAATTTTCTCAAGCAGAGAGCTACAGTTCTGCAGCTAATGGATGGACAGACAGACAGACGACAGGTGATCAGAAAAGCTCACGAGCTAAAAATACATTCAAGTATAAATAAAACAGTAGCAGGTTTGATGAAACACAAAAGCTCTCGTAACAACATGTGTCTTACTTGAACATATTAGGCCTTTCAATAGATCTTTGTTTACCAACACAGAATAAGTGATAATTTCCTCAGAATTTTTTTTTATTACATTCCATCTTGAAAAAAATATGCAAAATCATGGATTATTTATTAGATTGATTTGAAATTTAAAAAAAATGAAACTTTTTAATTCATGCATTACTTTGGTGAAAATGTTCTAGCATGGCTGAAACATAATGGTGTTGCTGTTGTTGTGCTAAAGATAAATGACAATTAAACAAGTATGCCTTTTGTTCATGGGTCACCTGTGGATGAGAAGCATATGGCATGCAAAAATATGGATAATTATAGAAATACGGAGGTGGGTACATATTGGGGGACCATGAATTGTTCCAATCAGAACCTGGAGGAGGACAATTTGGCTCTTCATAAGCTTCTTCATCATCCTCAGATTGTTCATCAGAAATATAATCTTCCTCACACTGATCATAATAATCATAATTTTCCTCATCCTCGAAATTTTCCTCCTCATCCAACTGCAATTCACCATCTCTAAAATCATGTCCATGTTCTTGTTCATACTCCCCCTCATCTGTATAGTATTGATACTGAATTTGTTCAAAATCCTTTTTTTCAGTGTTTATAAATTTTGACCACATTTTTGGTAGAGAATTCTTTTCAATATTCTTTGACACATCCCTCTGCTTTGATTTACTCTTCCCATCGCCTTCCCTCATCTGCTTTTGTCCATGGAATGCATATCCCCAATCCATGTTTGGAAGGAAATCAAACTCCTCTGTTTGAGTTGCTGAGGTTGTACTGTCTTTTCTATTTTCCTGCTCATCTTCTTCTGAATATTCCTTGTGGTCATCTAAATTAAGAATTTTGTCTATCATTGATAGCAAATGTTCTTTTTCTCCTTCCTTCCAAACAAAAGGAGTTGGTTTAACTATTATTTCTCCTCTCTCAGATGATGTTTCTTTCTCTTGAAGATATTTTTTGTATTCTCTTTCCTTCTCCTCATATGTTTTGGAAATTCCTTTATCATTATGGCACAAAAAATGTTCAAGTTGTGGTATATGTATTCTTGTCACCTTGTCTTTATCTTTTTTATTTGGAGTTGTTCTCTTTGGCTTTTCACTTTCTTCACAAATTTCTGCAGGTTTAGTAAATGCCTCTAATCCTTCTTTCATTTTCCTTTCATTAACAGAGCTTTGTTGAACAACATTAGAACTATCCTCCTCGTGCAATACATTACCTTGGAAAGGACCACATCTGGACTCAAAAACACTTTCCTTAATATCACCCCTCTCATTTGGTGATAGAAATCCCAGTTCGTTTCTTAACTCATTTGGCAGAGCAGAATTCTCAGTTCCTTTTTCTGACTTTACATCTGAACTTACAGGCATCTTCTTCTTATCTCTCCAACCTTTCTGCTCAAACTCAGATTCCAAAATCTGAAAATATTTTCTTCCTGCATTTTTCTGTGAATGCCTTTTTGAAATGCTCTGTTGCTTTGAATTTTCTTTTAAGCTGTTTTGATTTTCTGTGACATCTACCTTCTTTGGTGATATTCGTGTGTGATCTGTGATTATCTGTTCTGTTGACACCATATCATCAAGGTTAAATGTCCCCTCACTCTTTGTCAGTGTACTGGGAATGGGATCTGCCAAATAAATACTCATGCTTAATTAAATGAACAATCACTTTCTCCAGACATTCACTAACAAAAATGAAATATAATTTTAGAAACTGAATTATTATAAATTTGATGTCTTATATAGTATAGCTACCTGGTAGGTCCTTGATGTGTGTATTACATTTCTTTTCCACTTTGTTCAACTCCTTTTCCTCTTGCCCATGGCTTACAATAGTCACTGCTGCACCAAAAGTCCCTAAAATCACAATTAATTATTAAAATATCTTTTTTACACATCCTAAGAATAATTGTGAAAATACAAGTACTTAATCTAATGCATTGTTCATCAAAATGAGACTATATAATGGTAGACTCATGAAAGACCTTGCAAGCTACAGCCCACACTAACTAGATACTAATGTCAATATAAAACATTTGGTTTGGTTATTGATTACCAAATCGGCCAGCTCTCCCAATCCTGTGTAGATAAGTTTCATGATCCTTTGGAACATCAAGATTGATCACCATATTCACCTTATCTGCATCAATTCCTCTTGATGTCTACAACACATAACAATATAAAACTTATTTACAGGTAATTCTCATTGTACATGCATTTAAATATTTTCTTAATCATTCTGTCACTAAATTTTATTATTCTTTTAATAAGTGCATTCAATTTCAGCACTTTCTTGCTTTTAAAAATTGATATACAGGAAAAGCATTTGTGAGAAATCACATTATAAAATGTTTCATACATGCCATCAAAAGATACATGTATATCCTTCCCTAATAAACAGATATTTAAAGAACAAATTAGAGCCTGTCTGTAGTACTGTTATATGTCACAGTCTTAACTTTAGGCAAAGCATCTTTTGAATTTTGAAAATTTCAACATGACTAATTAGTGACAGTAGTTCAAATGAGTTAACTCACTAAATCAGTGGAGATGACTATTTGACATTTTTAAGTTAACTCAGTAGATCAGTGGAGACAAGAACTCAACATTTTATAAATTGAGGTGAGACCTCAACATTTATACATTAACTCACTAAATCAGTGGAGATAAGTACTTAACTTTTGTACATTAACTCACTAAATCAGTGATGAGAACTTGACATTTGTACGTTAACTCACTAAATCAGTGGAGGTGAGAACTCAACATTTGTACATGTACGTTAACTCACTAAATCAGTGGAGATGAGAACTCGACATTTGTACGTCTTTAGCTGACTCATAGCCTCATTTCTGTCCTTCTGATCGTGACTTCCTGCTATATATGCTGTTGGCCAACCATGACTGATCAAGGCATCTGCCATATTTTGGGCCCTATGATACAGAGAAACAATTGTGTTTTGTTTTGGGTTTTTTAAATTCAAGTGCCAAACTAAAAATCTAATCTCAAAGACACGGACGAACTTTACTTCACTAATATTTAACTCTAACACATAAGTAAATGTAACATGATTTACATATAGATATCAGCATTAACATATCTATCCTTATCTTAATATTAAATACTGCTTGAGCAAAAAAAATTCTGATTTCAATTTTATCAGTTCTTTGATTGATTACCTTGTTTGGAGGTTTGAGAAGATAAGACACTGTTGAAAATTTACAGAGGACAGTAACTCTATCACTACTTTGGTTTTATTGTCAAACACTTTGTTAGGTAAAGCATGGTAGGCCACCACTTTTCTGAACTGTTTAATCCCTGAAATATAATAGAGAGAAAGATGATTATTAATTTAGGTATACATTAACAAAATGTAAACTAGTCTCCAAAGTAATTTCAACCATAGATCATGCAAGTAAATTGCTTCTTTCCTGTGTTAACCTACTGACATACCTAATAATAATATCACAATTTCAATGCAAATTGTCATCAACTATCTCTTTTTATATCCTTCTTTTGAAACAGTTGAGGATTTTATTTTTATTTATTTTCAAATTGTTTTATTCTACAAAACAACAAATGTATCTCAACGTTACCAAGCAATGCCGGATCAGAGATATTGAGCCTCAGAAATGTGGGGTTCCTCATATAACTGGTGAGGTGCTGTGCCAGGTATTCTGGGTAAGTGGCCGACAAGGCTAGCATCTGTTTGTTCTCTGGGAGTGCAGAGTAGATCCAGCTACAAATACACATCACACACACTTCAAAGTAACAACATTTGGAAATTGTTAATCTACACAAAGGACAAGCAATCAAAATGTTTTCTTTTCTTAAATTTATAATTCTGTCCATGTTTCAAAGATCTTTATTCAAAATCAAAAATGCAGATTTTCTTACTTGATCTGTTCTTGAAAGCTTTCTTCCAGTAGTTTATCAGCTTCATCCAGTACAAACATACGAATACTGTCCGTTTTCATGATACCCATCTCTATCAGCTGTTTTATTCTACCTGAGAGAATTTAAGACAGAATAGATATAAATCAAATATTGCTTAAAATAAAAAAAAAATTAAGTGAAAAAGTTGTGCAGTAAATATTACAGGTATCAACAGGGCTAGGGTAAAGTACCTGTGTACTGGTATTTCTTTTGTTTGATAATAAACACTTTATTTTCTTGCTGAACTTAACATTTGTTTCTCGTGCATTGGAAATGAGAGTTGATACATAATACTTATTTTATCAATGTTGTAGAGTAATAAAAACATACTACAATGTGCAAACTACTGTTTTCAAATTCTGTTGAGTAGTACATGTACTATTTTTCATACATGAAGATCAGGATAGATACAAGAATTTTTTAAAGAATTATCATGACAAATTTACCTGGTGTCCCTAAAGCAATGTGACACTTTTTGAGTTTCTGTTTATCTTCAGTGACAGGCATCCCACCAATAAAGGTGTGGCACTTCAGTGTAGGAGTACACTGTCCTATGTAACAGATCACATCCCAGATCTGTATGGCAATCTCTCTAGTGGGGGCCAGAACAAGCACCTGCAGGAAAATAGGGATCTTGATCTTATTAAGAACGAAATATATACAGTCATTGTCAGCTTTAATGATGCATTAAGATTCATTAGCAAATGAAAAATACATGTGTATGAAAAATGTAAGCTAACCTGCAATGCATAACTTTCAGTCTGCAGTCCTTCTAGAGCAATAACAGAAAATACACAAGTTTTTCCAGTACCTGACTTTGCCTGTACAATCAGATCTAGAAATCCAAAGAGAGGGAAAAGAATGTAACTAAAAATGTATTAATATGCACATGAACTACAGTGACACATACATAAATTTTGTCAGTTAACGCTATCAATTTTTCAAGCAATTTTGTTCCAACCATTACAAAATTTCAATAAACAGGCTATAATATTATAACATGTATTTGAAGTAGGAAGGGAGACAAGGAAACAGACCAAGCCAGGATTCCTTTCCATGACTTTCTGAACTATGAACTAACTAGCCAACAGTGTTTGAACACGTCTGACCACCACAATCCTCCCTCCCGAATGATGTTAATTATCTTCCACCTAAAAACTGCTACCCAGAATATTTACCTACACTTAGGACATTGCAGCACAAAATCTTACAGAAATGGAGAAAAATCCAATGAACTAGATCAGCATGGATTTGAGTCTGTCTGGCCTCTTGAACTCAATCTAGACAAGTGTAACATGAAAGGAGAAAATGTACAGCTGGACAGGGCATCGAACCCGGGACCCTTGAATCACTAGTCAGGTGCTCTACCAAGCTACCCAAGCTGATATCCATGAACCAAACCATTACACTCCCCCCGTCTGTAAATTGTCTTTGCCCTCGAAGACACGACCCAAGTTCTTATTGCCCCTGGCAGGACTTTCACCTTCAAGTCCAGGGGTAGTCAATGGCACCAAATTATGTAACAGAAAAGGAGAAAATGTATGGCTGGACAGGGAATTGAACCCTGGACTGAGCTACCCAGGCAGATATCCACAGCAAAACCCATCCCATTCCATAAGTATTCTACCAACTGAGCTATCTGCATGGCCACAAGTGAACAAAGCTGCTGACCAATAAATTCCTCCCTCCTTAATCTTTGTCCCTCATGACACCAACAAAGAGTCACCTCTGGCGGGTTTTCATTTGTCACTTCCAGGAGAAAACAGACAAATAAATGCAACAACAATGGATAAATTAACACAATGGTCTAGACTAGTATCAGGGATTTTTTTACCCCTTGATTCCAGGGGCTGGGGCCGTCAAAATTGGGGAAAAAAAGCGATATTTGGTTGAAATTGGGAAAAATATCTTCATGCAAATAAATAGGAAAAAACAAGCAAAAGTCAAATATTTAATCATTTTTCCACAGGGGCTTGCTCCCGGCGTGTAATAATTATTCATTAAAAAAAAAATCATATACGTTAATACTAAAACTACACAGGGGCTTGCTCCCGGCGTGTAATAATTATTGATTAAAAAAAAATCATATACGTTAATACTAAAGTTTAGTATTAACATATATGATTTTTTTTTAATAAATAATTATTACACGCCGGGAGCAAGCCCCTGTGATTTTTCTTATTTTTTGTAGTATGAAGCTGGCTTAAAAAAAGCTTTAGTGATATGAAATATTAGCAGCTGTCGAAGTTCAGAAGCTTAAAAATGGCAAAGCCGCAGGGTATGATAACATTGTAAATGAACATATTTATACGTTGTCATCTTTTTTACCTTTATGTAAGAAGTTCTTTAAAATAACATTTGATAGCGGATTTGTTCCAGATGAGTGGTTAATCGGTATTGTTTGACCAATTTATAAGAATAAGAGCAATTCAACCCAGCCTGAAAATTACCGTCCTAGGCACCACAGAGACACTGACATGATGCATATTTATTTTTTAGATAACGACCCGACTTTAATTTTTAAACATCAATCCCGCTTTAAAAGGTTACGGAAGCGTAATAGGGCCGCAGCAGTATCTTTTATTAATTTGTTTTAACAAATTACTAATTTGTTATAACAAATTATCAATTTGTTATAATAAATTATCAATTTGTTAAAACAGATTACTAATTTGTTATAACAGATTATTAATTTGTTATAACAAATTACTAATTTGTTATAACAAATTATCAATTTGTTATAACAAATTATTAATCTGTTATAACAAATTACTAATTTGTTATAACAAATTATCAATTTGTTATAACAAATTATCAATTTGTTAAAACAGATTACTAATTTGTTATAACAGATTACTAATTTGTTATAACAACTTACTTATTTGTTATAACAAATTATCAATTTGTTATAACAAATTATCAATTTGTTATAACAAATTATCAATTTGTTATAACAAATTAGTAATTTGTTATAACAAATTAGTAATTTGTTATAACAGATTACTAATTTGATATAACAAATTATCAATTTGATATAACAAATTATTAATTTGTTATAACAGATTACTAATTTGTTATAACAGATTAGTAATTTGTTATAACAAATTAATAATTTGATATAACAAATAAGTAATTTGATATAACAAATTAGTAATTTGTTATAACAAATTAGTAATTTGTTATAACAAATTACTAATTTGATTTTAAAAATTATTATTTTTTTTTACAAAATATGAAGGTGAATACAGATCTATGGAAGCCAGATCAGATCAGATCAGAAATCTTATTTTAAATCGGTTTTATGAAAACGTAAAGCATAAGCTTTGGAGAGCTTTTGATCAATATGTTAATGTGGATTTAGATGAATTAGCAACTTAGATTAAAGCACTTTAATTTTTGTTTAATTGCAGGTTTTTTTTTTTTTTTTAAAGTTTTGTTTTGTTTTGTTGTTGTTTGTTTGTTGTTGTTTTTTTTGAGTCAGTTCCTTGGAATAGATTTCTCTGTTAGACAATTAAAAGAATAGCTGCATCCCAGGGATTATGTAGAAGAAATACAGAATGTTGGATCCTTTGAGAAAAATTCGAAGTTCCGGACAATTAAATATGATTTCAACGTCGTCCATTCAAATCAACACTTTTTTCAATGTCAACACAGGGGTCAATAGGGGAGAAGACCTATTTTTTCCTTCTTTACACATGTGTAATAATTTGTGTGTATTGTTATAGCAAATTATATTGCTTAACGATTTCTTGTAAAATATATGAGTAGTCCTATATGATACAACCAGGATACAAATTAGAAATGAATTTGAAGAAACAACTGTCAAAGTTTTCAGCCAATAATAAGTTATGAAGGCTTTAGTGGGACTTCGAGGGCTTTTCCAAAAGGCACGTATTTTGATTATAAAAATTACATACATACATGAAAAAATTTCACAAGGTATCTAAATTCAAATTTTACGAAGTACTACCCACTCAAGAATATTGTTTATTTTCGTTTTCAGAAAAGGTTATTACAGAGTGTTTATCAATTTTTCTATGATAATTTATCTACAAATTCATTTTTTATCAATGTTGCCTTTATTGCACCCAGCATAAATTGGGGCCAAGGAGGTTCACCAGAGGAGCAGATTCAGGTTTATGCATTAGGAACGGCGGTTTAGTTTAAAATATATTTTATTCATGATACATAAACTGGATTGAACAGTAGGCATAAATCATTTGGTACATGTAGAGAATGAATCGAGAGAGAGAGGGAGGGGGGGTAAAATGAAATAAAATAAAAGACATATTAAAAAAAACAATATTATAATGAACATGTTGATTCAGGGTGGGAAATTACTAATTTGTTATATCAAATTGATAATTTGTTATATCAAATTAGTAATCTGTTATAACAAATTAGTAATCTGTTATAACAAATTAGTAATTTGTTATAACAAATTAGTAATTTGTTTTAACAAATTGATAATTTGTAATAACAAATTACTAATTTGTTATAACAAATTAGTAATCTGTTATAACAAATTAGTAATTTGTTTTAACAAATTGATAATTTGTTATAACAAATTAGTAATTTGTTTTAACAAATTGATAATTTGTAATAACAAATTACTAATTTGTTATAACAAATTAGTAATCTGTTATAACAAATTAGTAATTTGTTTTAACAAATTGATAATTTGTTATAACAAATTACTAATTTGTTTTAACAAATTGATAATTTGTTATAACAAATTACTAATTTGTTATAACAAATTAATAATCTGTTATAACAAATTAGTAATCTGTTATAACAAATTAGTAATTTGTTAAAACAAATTAATAAAAGATACTGCTGCGGCCCTAATACGCTTCCGTAAAAGGTATGCATGCAAACATCCATAGTATTCCGAATAACTTCTCGGAAGTCCTCGGATGGCTCGTACATCGCACATAGAGAACATAAACACCTTTTTGTCATTATTTTATTTTAATAATTTACAACTTAATACTTTTTTTCATATTGGGAATTTTTAGGTATGATTTGGGGAAAAACATGCTCTTTTCAGCATTGGGAATGGGGCCGAATTTCGGCCCCGGAGAGACCCTAAAAAAATCCCTGAGTATTCAGGGGCCCATTTTACAAAAAAACTTAAAACCAAGACCAAAATTTAATTCTGCTAATAGCTTTTTAATTTACATTAAATAGAAAATGGATTAAATATTTTTAAAGGTTTGTAGAAAGATACTTTTATCATGTTTATGCTTGCAATTTGAAACAGAATCATTAATTTTGAAAAATCTTACAATCAACTGAAGTTTTTGGTCTTAGTCGTAAGTTCAGGCCCTCTGAAGAGATATTGCAAGCACTAAAAGAATTTCCAGATTGTTTACCGGTACTCCATTCTCATTATATTGCAGGTGCCATTGTATCATGCCATATGAATTTTGTTTTCAAAAGTTTAAAACATTCTTTGAACTTAATCTATTTATCTCTTATCAGTATGAATATTATTATATTTCAGTTGTATAGGAGATGTGTGCTGAAAACCTGACTTTTGTAGCCATTTTAATTTCAGAATGAATGTTTATTAAACAATCAAATTTACACAGTCATGCTCTGTGAAATTAGATTTCAATTTCTAAACATTTAAGTACCGAGATAATGTGAAACACAAGTATGCAGAGAGATGAAAAGTAGAAAATTTGCATTGCATGTAATTAAATTTTCTGGAATCTCCTAGCTATGCCTCCACTCAGACTAAAAATGATACCTGAAGAAAGAGCAATCGACTACTTTATTGTAATGGTTTGGGCCATGGATATTGGCCTGGGTAGCTCAGTCAATAGAGCACCTGACTAGTGATGCAGGGGTCCTGGGTCGATTCCCGGTCCACCTTTCCTGTTACAGATTTGGTGTTGTTGACCACCCCTGGACTTGCAGGTGAAAGTCCTACCAGGGGCAAATAAGAACTTGGGTTGTACATGTCTTCCAGGGCAAAGACAATTTAAGGATGATCGAGGGAGGAATGTAATGGTTTGGGCCGTGGATATCGGCCTGGGTGGCTCAGTCGGTGAGCACCTGACTAGTTATGCATGGGTCCCGGTAGACAGAACATTCTATCGTTAAAATGATATTGTCCTACGGACCCGGTTTAACGATAGAATTCGTTCCATTTATTGGCAATGTTGCAAAATAAACACAGGCGATAACTCGTACTCTGTGCATTTTCTATGAACAATCCAGAGAGTTTCGAATGTCAACATGGCATTAAATTTTAAGCAAAGAAAATGATTTGAATTTTCGTATTTATATGGATTATTTTTTAGGTTAAAAGACATATATCATCTCAAAAAGGTTTGTTATGATTAATTTGGTAGTTATTTTCAGTGCAACTCCTTTTGTATTCTTCAAAATCATTTTCAGAGTGAATCCACTCCGATTTGCTACATTGCAAGTATATGGGACGTATTCTAACTGTGGTGAAGGCTTGTCCCAAGACACAATTAGATTATTCTAACTAGGATCCCGGGTTCGATTCCCGGTCCAGCCATATATATTTTCTCCTTTCCTGTTAAATTATTTTGAACATCCGACATTGAATTTTAGGTCAATGACACATTACATTTTGAAATAATAATGTCCTAAAATTTTACGTGTGATTAACTTAATAATTTTCGGATTTCTTGTACCTAAACCACATCGTCCAAGTGGTATTGCTTTTAGTTGTATAGGCGATGGGCGCTGAAAGCCTGCCTTTTGGAGCCCGTCTAAAACATTTGCTGACAAAAGCAATCCCGAAAAGTCTACATTCTCATTAATAAGAACATCCCCTGTCCTATTCTGTTCTTGAATAACGTGTGCAACTGATGTCTTTGACATGTTTCCCTTCTCTTTAAACACGTTGCTTTACATTTCGTTTCGTTTTCGTCTGTTTACATTTCTTATTTGTAAGGACAATTTCTATTGGTTTTTACCTAAAACTTAAACGAATCAGAATCGAGAAGAGAACTCTGTATCTTGGTAATTTAAGTGTTTATCATTGCGTATATCTAGACATTTTAATAAGCGTCTGTTGTACGTGGATGATTTCACTCTTCCGGCATCGAAAAAGACAACTTTTGCTTCTCAACTTTGGCAATCATTATGTCACATCAGACAGGGATTCAGGGTAACATTTTCTGACATAAACATTTAAATTAAATAATTCTCTAGGCTGATGTGCCTTTTGACATTTTTATCTATAGATGTTCATTTATGTGCTAATGACCAAAAATGGGCGTATTTTAAAGGATTATTTACACATCTTTAAAAATAGAATGTATTTATTTACCTTAGAAAATTATATTTAAATAGTCATGTGTGTAAATAGTCCCGTGTATCATATTTGTAATTCATTTATATTTTTTTGTTTATCAACGCTACCAAAATTCAGTATGTCAAATTTAAAGACCTTCCTGCATAGACGACTTTCATTTTTACAAAAGTTATTTCCCCTTGCGAGGTCATTCTGGGGTCAACCCATTGTTTTCCCTTTATAATATTATGGACTTTATGGGGCAGTGGCTTACAAATATGTTCATTATGTTTTCTTTCTTGGTTCAAAACCGGGCAATACAGGAAAGTACATAATTGTGCAAAAAAGTTTGAAGGTTTAAAATGTTTATAGGTAAGATACAAAGGATATAGCAGGGTTTTACATTAACTTTTAAGAGTACTAGACCAGTTGGGCTACTTCCCATAATTTTTACTAGCCCTGACCATAAAATCACTAGCCCTAACCAAACTTAAAATTTTATTTATTTCTTAAAATCACTAATTTTAATGAGGTAAATAATTTTGAAATCGTTTCTCTTGCGTATTTAAAAAAGATTTTTACCGACTAGCCAATTGAGTCGGGTTCATCAAGACATGCGAATATTGTAAGCTTTAAAGATCATTCAACGAACTTGAATAAATTTTTGTTATCCTGAATAATAATAAATTTATTGCAGAATATATTTTTTCAGTAACTATTTATACCATATTGATACTGAACGACGCTAGTTTCTACCGCAACTTTTCTATCATATTACATTCTTGGCTGCGTTTAGAATCGGACAAATTAAAAAAATTCTTTAAAAGTTTTTGGAATATTAATTTGAAAGACTGAAATGGGTTTTAACAATTATTTTATCAACACAACCAATCGGTCTAGTTCACGTACATTTTACACGACTGGACCACTCATTTACTAGACTGGGTCGGACGGACATGCCTTAGTGTCAAACCCTGTATGGTGTTGGCGTCTCCATATGAGTGAAAAATTCTTGAGAGGGAACGTTAAATGATAAACAAACAAACAAAGGATATAGTGAGAAAAATGAATGTTACGCTGACAAACAGAAATAATTCTAATGAAGGTGAAAGTTGTCTATTGGTTTTTATTACTTTAAAAAAAAATGAAAAAAAAAACAACATATTTTATTATTACATGTATATCCACCAGTGGTAATATTATATGATATGATCATATCAGTCTAAGCATTATGATATTGTTATATATCAGCAGGGATGTATATGTACTAAAATACCCCTAATACAGTGATTTTCATTCCAGAAAATGAGACAAACACTTTAAAAACAATATGAGTGTTGAGCATTTACAAATTATTTATAAATTACTCAACACTTATATTGTTTTTCATGTGCTTATTATAAAAAAGTCATGACAATTTGGAATCCAAGGAGCTCATTTTTTTCTACTGATTATGAATTGAAGTTAGCAATTTCAAATTTTTTGAAAAATATCAAACAAAAATAAACATATTATTTTTCAGCATGAGAAAAGTTCCCTCCCCTGTCTAATTTTGTTTAATTATGAACTCATAAGGAACAAAGAAACATATGATATCATCATGACATCAAATTGGAATTCAGAATCACTACGTATGTTTTTTATCATGTTTATATTTACAGCTAGTGATGATTTGAAATCATTTTTCTCAACTTGCAAAGACGGCAGTGTTAGAGCTGTGAAGGTTTCCATTATTGATGGTAAAAAATGTCATTTATATATTGTTTCTAATGAAGACAACTTTTTTTCACTTCCATTTTTTTTTAAATAAAGCAGATTTAAGGTTTAGTAATTTTTATGGAGTAAGAATTTGTAAGCATTACCTATTGTCAATCCAACTCAGATTTTCCTGAATAAATATCGTATATTTGTGTTTATTAAATAAATATGATGTAAGTAAATGTAACAATGTATGATTCAAAGGATCAAAATATTGTCATTTTTATTTCAGAAAAATCATATCATAATATGACATGGATACATGTACATAGTTGTATTGATTATAAAATTTTAATCTCATTTTTTTCGTTTTCAGAACAATTAGAGTTGGCAGGAAGTCAAAATCCAGTTGGCACATGGGAAGATGATATCCTTTTCAATTTTTTCTTTCTCATTTTTTTAGTATTTCAGGCATTATAAAATATATACTAAATATATGTAAGTCTCAAAGTTTCTCCTTAACACATCAAACATTATGACAAAACAGTCCTCCCAATGTTGGAAGAGAAACAGCCATGCTATATCATATACAGACTGGACTCAAAGAACAACCTTGGATATCAATGGATCTTCATTTCATGGTCTCCAGATTTCTCACCAGTAAGGCTGAACACATTTTCCATAGATTGTTTTTTTGTATAGATTTTGAATTTTATATACATGTATTACATGAGGTAGTGTATGTACATGTATGGATCTGGTTGTCTGTACATGACATATCTTTTTTACAAATGGAAATATTTTATTGTTTTCACCAATATGAAGGCTTATTACATTTTACATGGACCACTGTTGTGTAATATATAACAGAATCTGTTGATATATTACACTTGAGATAGTACAGGTGTCTGGATCTGATCATAATATACTATGTACATGACATTTGACATGATAATTCTTGCAGAAATATAATTTTATTCCAATGAAAGTATTTTATTGTTTTGTTTTTTTTATGTGAAGCATAATGCTTGAGATGTTCAACATATTATGCTTCTCTAATGCTGTGTTTGTCATATGATTATAATTATACCCTCCAATACATCTCACTACAGGTCAGACAGAAGATGTTGTTTGCAGCAACTCGTGCCACACTGAAAACAGAGTTTGGGACTGGTTTAATCAAAGATGAGATGTTTGGCACTGCAAAAGTAAGTAATCTCTTATAATTCCCCATGGTCATTAGATAGGATTCATATTAAAAGAAACTGATATTTTCATTTGAATATTCTTCTGGAAGTTGTTTTTGCATGGAGATAAGAAAAATCTTGTATTATGCATTTAGGAAGATGTGAATTTACGGGGCTATAAAAAGCACTTGGCCTCCCATGATGCACCTGCACCTTTGACCTTTGCAGAAGAAGAGAAGAAGTTGATCAAACAGAATGATGTATGTACTTAAAGCAATTTTAGTTTTATCCATGTCCATGATGTTGTATGCTATAAAGAATTTATTTGAAATCATGATTTTTTTTTGTTTGTATGTTTGTTTGAAGTAAAAGAAAAATGGAATTTAAAGTATTCATAAATACCCTATATCAATTTTAATTTTATTTACAAATTTGTAAGAAAGAGGTAAGTGACACATTGTTTAATGTAAAAAGACTTCATTTCTAATTTCAGAGATCAAGCATGTTTAATGAATATAATTTCTATAATCTCTACTGTTAGTTATTGTGCAAAATTCACTGGAAATGGTATTTACTACCAGATATATATATTATATGGTAAAAATATATATTTTCTAAATGATAAATTGAAGGCTTTTCCATAAATAAACATCTATATTTTGTGCATGAGTTCAATATTTGCTTTGGAATGCAATTAATATTTTTTAAGAATATTTATACATTTTAAGACTTTTTCCACACTGGATACTTGATACACAAAGTCTTGCCATAGCCTTTAATGCCACATGATTATTCTTGAGGCTGTGATCTAGATATTTCTCAATATGTCTTTGATCATTGTATCTCCTTTCTTGAATATTGAAGCAAACTTTTTAATAAATTTACAAGCTATAAAAAAGTAAAATTTAACAAATTTATTTATGGTCCCATAATGGGAGAAAAACAAAACTTTTTAAGATTGTTAGCTACATTTCTATCAGATTAAATGTTACTATAAATATACTATTTAGCTCTAAGACCTGATCACGAGGAGCTTATGCATTGGTAAAGCGTCTATTGCCCATCAGTATGTCTCTTTATTTAAACATTTACGGTACCAGTGGAATTGATTGACGGTTATGCTTTCACTGATTGTCTCTCTGTCTGTATCTGATGTTTTGATTTTTAGGAAGATTATATTGCCATTCTATATTTATTTAGCTAAAATGAAATGATGTACTATTAAGATCTTGAAAAATGCTACTGTTGTAAAGTTTTGACTGGATTACATTTTAGCTTGATATACAGATAGAATATATAAAGAATGATATTTTTGTAAATAATGTAAAACTCGAAAGAGAAATGTTAATTAAGTTCCTCTCAGACCATTTCAAGTTTAAACCGTAGAGCTTCATTCTCATCAGAGACTTCTGGTAATGTTTTGGAAAATGTAAATCTGACTATAACTTTATGGATTTGCTGATGAATTAAGACATAGCTTTTTACTGCAACAGTGAACTGTTTTCTTTCAAATTCTAGTTTGAACCTAGCAGTGTTAACTTTTGTCTTCTGTTTAAGTGTCAGTTCTTGATAAAGTTTTAATATCAATACATATTTGATGACTCTTTAGGTCAACACCGTGAGTGTACATGATAAACATCAACATATGACTGGTGTTTCGTTCCCTGTCTCTGAAGAAGCTTTACAAAAGTTAGAGGAACTTAGAGATGGTAAAATCACATATGTACAACTGGTGAGTCTAAAGTTTTACATGTCAAATGTCTGTGTACATGTGCATACATACATGTACACTGAATATGAAGAATGAAAATTAATGTTGATCATGGTTTTGCCAATTATGTACATAAATAACAAGCACAAGTTTTTACAAAGTGCAAGAGACTTTTAAAATGTAAAAATTTGTTTGAGATGATACAACAATTTGCCTGAGTTAAATGCTGTAAATGTACATGATTTGTATGTGGTCATAATTCCACAGAATCATAATTTCTGTTCAATCCGCGGGTGAGAAATTACGTGGATTTGTTTGTTTACCATTGTAATATCTTAAATTTAAATACACTGAGACAAATTTCCATTGTAAATCTGTGACCGCATATGTAGCATGATTAATACCAAAAAAAGTACATCTACAGTACGCATATATTGAGTCATTGCATTTGATCATTTAATTATGTATAGAAGATGAAAATATGTTAAAATAGAAGGAGTTTTAGCAACTGAGTTCAGGTATAATATATATGTTTTCTTGATAGAGTTTGGATATACCAACAGAGACAATTAACCTTGAGATGGCAGACAACACAGATATCAAATCCCTGGCCTCCAGAGTCCCAGACGATAGTGCCAGATATCATGTCTTCACGTTCAAACACACACACGAAGGAGATTACACAGAAAGCATAGGTAGGTTCTCATCATTACTGATTTGATTGTAAAGAAAAATACAAAACAAAGTGAAAATTGGAAACCAAAACATCAAGGTGAAAACACAGAAGATTCTCAAAGATGAATTCTGAGTTGTGTACAATGGAGATCGAATCTAAAGCTATAAACTGAATGAAATAAACAGATCACCAACAATCATACATGTAAGAATGCAGTCTCATGATGTGATGGTGATCTGTTCATTTCTTTCAGTGTAAAGAAAATTCTAGAATACATTCAATATTCATATGTCTTTATTGGTTTGATGATATTTTATTACAAAATTTAATACAGTCAAACCTCTTTAATCCAGCTACTTGTGTTCCCTAGCAAATCATCTGGATTAATTTAGCATGGGAGTGAATGAAACATCTGTGTTGTAATTTGTAGATATGAAAGTAAATTCTGTTTCCCATAAACTTCATCTGGAAGGTGAAGCATCTATTATTGGCATCCTGATAAGCAGGGTTCCACTATACACAATAATGCATGAATTTTCATCTATACAGGCAAAATGTACTGTTCATGTATTTATACAGCTGGATTCATGTTTTGTACTTTGGCAGGATATTAACTGAAAATTTATAAAATCTGCTCAAGTATGAATTTATCTGACTTATAATTTATAGAAAAAGAGAAGGGGGGGGGGGGTTATTGGCATTCATTTGTGACTGTGCCAAAATTTCCTTCACCTACAGTTGTGCAAAATTTTGAATAAATGAAAACAGTAACATGCAAATTCAACATGCAGTAGTTTTCCTGCAAGGCATACTTCCTTTCGGATGGACAGTTAGGAGTGATATTGATTTGTTTATAAATCTGTCTTCTATTTCTAACAAGTCATTAAGCTAATGACAAAGAAAGAATGTTTAGTTTAACCTCTGTTTCTGTTTCAGTCTTCATCTATTCTATGCCTGGATATAAATGTTCTATAAAGGAGAGAATGCTATACTCTAGTTGTAAATCTCCACTGATTTCCAGGATAGAGGCCTTGGGAATAGAGATAACCAAAAAGGTATGTATTTATTATATTACCAGAAAGGATTTATGTATGGACTTTGAGCCAAAGGGGGAAGCATTTGCTATTATTTTTAGTATAAAAATGTGATGTACATGTATTTAAATCACACACTTTGGCAATAACAGGATGACATTGTGAAGTAATAGCGGGTGTAACATTAAATATGGCAACTTGTTTCAACAAGGAAGAGAAGGGATGATATATATGGGAAAAAAATTGTTCAGCTAGTACCGGTAATGAAGGGCAAGAAGAGGAACTTAGAAAAGAAAAATTAGACAAAGGAGGATTAGATTTATGTAATAAATACATGAATATTTCTCTGATAAAAACACTATACATGTATCATATATATTCAAGTATGATAATGATATATTTCTGAGACACTGTAAATGATTCTTATTTGAATATAAGGATCTCCCTAGAATCAGGAAGGGTAGGTCTACTTATAGCACTACATGGCATCAGTTTTATACATACAGATTAAGTTCTACATTTAGGTCTCTTCCCAGAGAATCATAAGTGACATATAAACAAAATTTTTTTTATTACATGCATCTATAGATACATGTATTTTAGATTGATGTAGGCTTACAATCTAAATATTCAATAAGGACATTACTTGAGTCTATTTCCAGCTTTCTGTAATGGTATTAAAGCTAAATTTAGTGTCTATAGATGTTTTAATATGTTGTGTACCTCAAATGGTGTGTCTGGCCTTCAATTTATGGTGAAGTATATTATCCAGAAAAAGTATAAGGAAATTATGAGTTGTATGAGATAATAAACAACTCAAATGACTCATTTGGTGCTTTTTTTTAAGGCTCTGCTCTTTGCAGTGATAGAAAATAAACTTTGGAATGTATCCCTGGGAATTTTACTCCCATCACAATCTGCTTTAATTTTTCATTTATTTTTTATAGTTGGAAGTAGATGATCCAAAAGAACTTTCAGAAGAAAATGTTTATGATGAGATTCACCCAAAGAAGAATGTAGCCACAAAGAAATTTGACAAACCCAAAGGCCCTGCAGGCAGGGGTCCCCGTCGCATGGCCAAGACATGAACAAACACAATAATAATATGTTACTCTTCTGGTGCTACTGTTAAATCATTGATGCTTAAAGTCAGTGATTTGCTGTAGTGAACTTTATGAATAATGAATATGTACATCAAAGGAAAAATCATATAAGATAGGGCATCTGATGTGCATTTATCATAAGGATAAATTATTATTGTAAAAAATTTGATCATTTAAATAGAAATTTAAAAAAAGAATGTCTAAAAAATTTAATATGTACATGGATAATTATTTTCCAAAAAACTTACTTTTTCAATGATGATTCTAGGTTGTTGACTTATAAATAAAAAAAGATTGATCTGTGGATGACAACCCTTCTATATCTTTATCAAAATTGTCTCAAAATATTTTTATATGTGTGTTGTTTTTCAAATGTTGTTTTTATTTGGAACTTCTTTCTTAGAATTATGTATAGGAAAGCAATCACTGGATTAATTCTAGTATTATTTCTGAAGTGAACTTAACTCATATAAAAGCATATCAGTCAAGCATAAAGAGATTATTCAAGTAAAACCAGAAGACATATTGCATTTGATTTAAGCATTTTTCTTTTCTAAAAATGCATCGAAAATCCCCAATATGAAGATGTTTGCTAATTTCATTTCCATGTTATCGTAATGAAACATGTTAGAGGTTATCTACAGATCACTAGTTTGTTTACATTGCCATCTTGTTTTATACCTCAATAACATTGTAATGCACACATCATTTTTTAGCGATTTGAATTCTTAAGCTTTGTTTTTCGATTGTTATCTTGTTAAATATGACTATCAGGGGACAGTTTTTTGTAGTGTACTGTTGTTTATTTTTTAAGTAGTATAGCTCAATGTGTTAGTCATTCCATTTCCCCTTAAGATTGCATTTCCAATAAATATACTACTTACATGTACAAGATGTAATTAATGCTTTACTGACAGTGCAAGGCCTAACTAAAGGAGATTCTCTATATTTTAACATAATTTATGTTTCATCTCAAAAAATTTGGTATTTTTGCAGTATTTTTTTTAGATGAACAGTTTAACTAGTGTAATTTTTTAAAAAGATGTTAAAGATGTATATCTAAACATAAAAATAAGTATACTTTCAGTTCCACGATATGTTAGTTTTCTTTTAACTTCATAATATTAATTATATAGTACATGTACATCCTAACCAGTTTTAACATTGATGGGCTTTAAAAAGAGGTATAAACACACAATATTGTAGTGAAATTAATGTGTCACTCTTTTAGTTCTCCATTCCTTATGTCTGTTTTGTGTTGACCTATAATTCTAGTTTATTGTGATATGAAGATAGACTGTGATTTGTAATGAAGTAAAGTGACAGTGAAGGCATGCTGTAGCATCATTAGTTAAGTTTGACATAATTAATTCATTAGAACATTTATTAAACTTTCATACATGTACCACTATAAAGAGGAATGAAATACTTTTTATTATTAAAACTGTTTTTTTTTTCAACACAATTTTTTTGTGTTGTTTTATAAAGATACATGTATTTATTCAGTAAACTCACCCAGTGCTAATCAATACCACTCTAGCTGCCTATGAAAATACCAGTAAATGAGATATGCATCAGTGTTATTTATTAAGAGAATACATATGAAAAGATGTGTTTATACTTAAAATGTAGTGCTCATTGATTAATCACTAATCAGGATATTCTTGGTGGAAGAACTTATTTCTCTGTAGAATCAAAATATTTTGAACTTTGTACAGGCAGAAATTCTGTTGCACTCTCATTCTTTAAACTTTATGTTGGCAAATTGGGAACATTCATGGTATTGTGTATTCGTTTTTAGCTCACCTGAGCTGAAGGCAAAAGCAGGGTGGGGTCATTAAAAAATCTTCTCAAAAACCACTGGGCCAGAAAAGGTGAAACTTATGTGCAAACTTCCTGAAGAAATCTAGATTCTAAATTGTTTAAATCATGACCTGGGGGGTTAGGATGGGGCCACAATAGGGGATGAAAATTTTATATTGAAATAAACAAGAAAAATCTTCTTCTCAAGAAAAAGTAAAACTTGCATGGAAGCTTTTAGAGGAAGTGTATATTCAAAATTTTTCAAATCATGACCCCAGGGGCTGAGGTATGGCCACAAGAAGGGATGAAAGTTTTACATTGAAATATATATGAAAAAATCTTTAAAATTCTTCTTAAGAACCAGTGGACTACATAAGCTGACACTTACATGTATTTGGAAGCTTCCTGAGGAAATGTAAATTCTAAATTGTTCAAATCATGACCCCTGGGGGTAAGGTAGGGCCACAATTAACATTAACATATAAGAAAAATCTTCTTCTCAAGAGCCAATGAATTAGAAAAGATGAAACTTACATGGAAGCTTCCTGAGGAAGTGTAGATTCTAAATTATTTAAATCATGGCCCCTGGGGGTAAGGTAGGGCCACAATAAGGAAAGAAGGTTTTACATTCAAATATGTATGAAAATTATTTAAAAATCTCAAGAACCACTGGGCTAGACATGTAAGGTGACACTTATGTGGAAGCTTTTCGAGTAATTGTTCACAATTTTCCCCCGGAGTCAAGGTATAGCCACAATAATGGATGAAAGTTTTACATTGAAATATATAAGAAAACTTTTTAAAAATCTCTCCAAGAACCACTGGGCCAGAAAAAGTGAAACTTATATGAAGGCTTCCTAAGTAAGTGGAGATTCTAGACTAATATTTTTTTTTTTTAAATTATGACTCTCAAGGTTAGGGTGGAGCCACAATAATGAATACATTGAAATATATGATGAAGGAAAGCAAGGTCACGATTATTCGTATTTATATGAAAGAATTCTCGGGTAGTGTAGATTTGTAAATGTGTTCAAGTCATGACCCTCAGTTACACGGTGGGGCCATGGTATATGGTCAAATGCCTTGTTCACAGGGGGAGTTTAATTCGAATTAAACGTAAGTTACTGCAAATTAAATTTGAACCGCTTTCACAGGGAGAATTTAATGTGAATTAGTTTAATTCGAATTAATTTACTGCGCATTAAATTACTTTGCATTAGCTCCGTGTGAACGCTAAGCGAAGCCAATTCGAATTAAATTTTGACGCATGCGTAATGGCAAAAAAAGTCACATGCCACATGTCGGTGGTGAGAATGTTGGTACTTTTTAGTGAAAAGGAAAGGAAAATTATGTTAATCACTGAAATGTGTACGGACACTATGATAGTATGTCAAATGGATCTGCTCCGCATAAGGTGACCTGATTTGAAAATGACGTCATAATAGTCTTACTGAATAGCCTTACTGTAGAAATAGATTCTGAATTTTAATTCGCATTAGTTGTCGTGTGAACGCAATTTGATTCGCATTATCTTAATTCTCATTATTTTACTACGCATTAAATTAATGCGAATTAAACTCTCCGTGTGAACAGGGCAAAAGTTTTACATACATGAAGGAATGAAAAGCAGGGTCATAGCAGGGTCATACTGTATATACTCTAGGTCCCTGATCATAGTTACACTGGTGGGCCTCGTTAATTCTTCAAATCTGATTTTTTTTTCCCTGAAAAACTAAATAAAGTAAGGTAGCATTATGCCTTGAAATATTTTTTTAAAGATTTGAAATATCCATTTAGTACATTTGTTAGTTGATTGGAAGTTTCAATAGCCCCCCCCCTCCCCCCCCCCCCCCCACACACACACACAGTATATAGCACTAAAAACAGTACAGAACCGTCTGTAGATTTAATCATGTATATAGTGTAAAATTAAAATTCTTATTTAAAAATCTATTCTTCTCTAGAAAAATTCAATGTAATTCAATCAATAACAATCAAATTAATGTATTCTAATGTCTTAACTCTTAACTCCACTCTGCAGGATTTCTGCCTTATCTTGACAAGGAAGTTAGTGGAAATGCATGTCACAATGGTGGGTACGACATTTCGTTGCGTTGTTTATTTCTTGATATCCCTTGGATGTATTCTTAATCTATCTCAGGTAAAAATAATTCTTAAACATATTTTAATTGCATATCCTCATCCGAGATCAATGCTTAATATAATGACTTATGTTTTTACTCATAAATTACAATTCTGTGATTTAAGGTACTTGGCAACAGCAGAATTTTCATGAACTGACACCTATATTTTTGTGTCTTTGTTATAGGGTGAAATACAGATTTGGTCAAATTCAGATGGCAGGATTGGCACTGTCTATTATCGTATTTCAGGTGCTCTGAGTAGGTATTCCTACAGAATTTAATTTATATATCGGTTGCAGGTTAATATGAACATGTTTGTTCACCTAGGTCTCATTTGAATAATAAAACACTTCAAAGAATCATATTGAATACATAAATAAAAACATAAAACATGAATAACACGTACGGAAGAAAATAAAATTATTATTAATTATTATAAATATATACATGTAATTATGGATCCACGCCTACACATTGTATAGTTATTGAGAAGCGAGTAAACATGGATTTCTTTAAGTTACAATTCAATGAAATTCAGGTGAAAATTGCAGTCAGTGTAACATTCAATCAAAATGATTTTTTTTTAAATTATAAATATTTATTTATTTTTATTTATTTATTTACTTTGGACGAGTTTTTACTGAAAAGGAATATTCAGAGGGTTTATGGACACATACCAACTGTTTGATATTGCGTTCATTGTATCATCCCATGTACAGTGCTGTTATGATTATTTAGATGATGTTAGCCACGGAACATTTTCAACACACGAGCTGAAATACTCATTAATATTATTATATTATTGAAATTTTTTGTTATCCAGAACCGTGTACGAAGCAAACTTTAGTGGCAGTCATCACCGATGTAACTCAGCTTATTAACTCAGATGGCTCCAGATGTATCGAATTTCAAGAAACAGATGGGAGACCAAACAAAAATATGCAGGCTTACATTGATTTCCAGCAAGCTTTCGACAGGTAAATTATGGAATTCTTAAATCATCAACTTAATTTATACATGTAAGCCAATAACAAAATTTGTGTAATTTTTTTTTTTTTTTTTTTTTTTTTTTTGAATTATAAATGATCGTTTCCGAAATCTCATCAGAATAGACCAATTCCTTGTTATAGCAAAAGTTTTTAAGATCCGATATTTAAATATTTAATACTTAAAAAGGGCTTAGAACTAAAACTCCAAAGTAATGATTAAGGTAAAGTCCAAAGTGTAGTCCAAAGAGTGTTCCAAAAAAGTATATAATAGATGCCAAAGAATAGTCGAAAGAATGAAAGAATGGAATGCCGTTTTCCGGCAAAACAGGGTATTTTGTGCTCAGAGGATATTCATGGTCCCGGATATAAAAGTAAGTTTTTATTGGCTGACTTAACATTGCCATACCACCTACGTTTAGTCCGTAGGTCTGTCCATTGACCTATGAACCCCAACATGGCACCACCTTCCAATCCAGGTATACCTTCATTAATGATATTTATGGACTCAGTCCCCATCTCTGCACCACAAGGAGTTCTAGCCGAGTTCTAGCCCTAGGCTTTTTTACTTATCTGCTTCAGAGGTCCCAATTTTATTACTCTTAATCAAGAATCTTAATAGTAACTTTACATTTCCGTTCAAATTTTATTACTTAGTATCGATGGGCTTGATTGGTCTATTCTGATCAATTCCATCACAAATGAGTTTACAAAATTATAGTTCATCGTATCAATAACAACGTCCAATTTGTTCTAACTGTATTATTATAGTTCTTGATATTAAAGTCTCTTTTCCAATTATAAAATCACTGCATGTAGTACACAAACAATGTACATCCCTATTTAACAAACTTTTATTTTACTGTCACTATTAGAGATTGTTCTATCTGACGTATCCGTATACGTATCTGTATCCGCATACGTATCGAGGTATGAGAGGCATCTCGATCCCGATGATTTAACCGTTGGGTAACATTTCCATCGTTTCTTGTTTGATTTGAACATCATTCATTGGAAAATAAGATATATAGTAATATTTCTAATGAAACGTATTAAGTTGCTGTTAACACCTTTCATTTTATGGAAGGATTTTAAAAAAATAAAATTAGTAAAAAAAAAAGTATGTAAATATTTCTTAAATTGTTTAAAAATAAAAAAAAAAAGGTTCAAAAAGGGACTCAACCCCCCCCCCCTCTCTCTCTCTCACACACACACACAATATCAAGATATATAATGTATATTATTGTTTCATTCTCGAAGTTACCTTTACCAGTACAAGACATATTCGCCATAATGCATACAGTCAACGTTCGTTATCTCAAACTTGATTGGACCAATTAAAACTTCGATATATCCAAGGATTTGAGTTAACAAAGTTTAACTGTACGAGGTGTCAGAGGTCAAACATTCTAGATGAGTATAAGTTTGTTTACATCAAGCAGATACTTAAAATTGATTAACAAAGTGGAGAAGGGGGAAGCTGGGCCGAGGTAGGGAGAAACCAAAACATGACAAGTCACCTTAGCAAAACTTTGAGAATAAAAAGGTGTAGAAATTAATCAAACTCTAAAATAAACCTATTACTGGGTATGTGTGTATGGGGGGGGGGGGGTTATGGATATTAAGTTTTGAGTTCCTTTTTTCCACAAAAATAATTACGGATACATTAACTGTGAAAGATTAATTTGACCATACTGAATACTCTGTGTGGGGGGGGTGGGGGGGGGCACTGAAAATTTCCATCCTCATTTTCTTATTTTCTTTTTTATAATTATCAACATTCTGTATGTCATTTGATTATATTTGATGGACATAGTTCTGAAGAAAAGCTTTGGAAAGCTGGCAATTCTGGGGTAGTTTGAAGACTCTAAATTCCCTAAATTGTTAGGTGATAGCCGTATCCGAAATTCCAGAGAGCTTGAGAAAGGACTACCATTTCCGAAAGTGATGCAATTACACGCATTTTTTGTCGGGGATGAATTAACAATTGTCGATAAAAGGAGATTAACGGAGAAAATTTTTTATGTCTTATACATTACTTTATATACATGTTTACTAAAGTTTACTTAATGATTTATTCATTGAAATTAATTAAGATGACTGTGATTCTTTGTGTACAAGCGGGATCGAAACTCTGAAAAAATGCTGATATTTTATCAATTAAATGTTTTGTATAAATTTTATCCTTTATTCTGTATTTTTATTTCTCTGCTACGTTGAAGCAGCCTCTTCTCTTCAATTCTATAAACTGCGTGTTGAATTGACTCACACTAGTCCCGATCTGGGACAAAATGCATAAATAAATAAATAAAAATAGAATAAATGAATAAAAATCAGCTGGATGGACAAGGTAGCATAGAAGAAATAGATAAGTCAATTGTTTTGGCATTTTTAGCCTAATGTTCTTTTCTTTCTTATAAAAAGAGAGTTAAGATAATGAATACCATATTATGAAACAGTTCTATATCAAACCATGAATTATAATACACATGTACGACAACAAGAGAACTAAAAGGAAAAATCAAATTTAACAATTGTATTTTCATTTCATTACCTTTTTTTTTGTTGCCATGAAGTCTTTTCAAGTTAATACTGCTGAAAGGACAAAATATAAAGCAAAATCAAGCCGTATGAGAATAGGCACGAAAGTAGCAATTTCAACTGAGGAGGGGAAGGGGAGACATACAGGTATTTGTCAAATAGTTCATTGAAAAAAGAATGAAGAAAGTCAACAGACGCTATGAAAGTTTGTGTGTGTTCCCGGGGGGGGGGGGGGGGGAGTGAACTGGCATTTTTAAGCATATACTGGTAAGGGTCTGGAAGCGAATTCTCTTTAGAAAACGGTTACACGGTTTTATTGATTGTGTGGATATCAACGTCTTTTGCATTTTAGTGTGTGTGTGTGTGTGAGAGTGGGGGGGGGGGGGGGGTGTTAACTTTTATGTCATTTAATGTAAATTACAGAATCAATCAATAAAATGTCCTGATGTTAAGAGGGAGAGAGGGGGATCCCGATATATGTTTTTAAACGAAATTGCAATTAAAGTTTTAAACAATATAATGAAAACAAATACAAATTTATTGAATTTCATTATCTATTTTTTTTTTTTATTTTCCAGCGAAATGACAGACTTTTACAGCAGCTTAATACATTTTTTATTAGAAAAAATACCATATGCTATTCTTAAATGAATGGGGCTTTAAAACCAAATAAATAACGATGGAAATTATAGTAAATAGTTTAGACATCGGGATCGAGATGCCTCTCTCACCTCGATACGTATACGGATACGGATACTTATACGGATACGTCAGATAGAACAATCTCTATTAATAACTAAAATAACTAGTTATAATTGTAACGGGGACCGTTACAGATGTTCCCCAAACGCTCCCCAACTCCCTTTTGGCGCCTTATTTCCTGTAAGTTTCATTAAATAAGGCTATCAAGTACACATATTGGTTGTTTAACGCATTTCACGCGCGCGCTAAGGCATGCATGTGCAAAATAAACATGTCATCTCGTCTATACTATAAATGCATCAGTCTTAATTCTGAGTATCAAAACATTTCATTGAAAAATATGAAAGTTACAGCTATATCAAGTATATTGTTCATTTCGGCATTGCACGCGCGCGCACGTGCATGCATATGCATGATGACCATGTATCATCTTGTCTACACTTTTGATATATTCTATTTGTTGAGTTTCAAAGCAAATCATCAAAAAGTTTAAAAGTTACGGCTATATCAAGTATATTGGTCATTTTATGCATTTCGTGCGCGCGCGCACGTCCATGTATGTTCTTGCATTCAATTTTGATAGTTGCATAATGTAGGAATCCATTATACCTATTTATATTCTAAATTTCATCCTGTTTTGTTGAAAACCAAGAAAGTTATAGCCATTTAAATTTTAAGCCAATCAGATTGCAGTACACGTGCATGCGCGTGCTTTCATGATAATTCTTATATATTATATTGTAGAACCTCCTAATGTGTGATTATATTATAAATTTCAAAGTATTTTGTCAAAAAACAAGAAAGATATTGAGACTTTTTTTTTCAGCCCATCAGAGCGAAGCGCACGTGCATGCACGTGAGATCATGCTAATTTGACCATGTCGTATTGTCTACTCTAAACCGTATAAGGTTTAGAGTTGACAATATGACATATGTCTACCCTGTCCATTCTAAACCCTATAGATTTACAGCTCTATATACTTTTATATATATTAGGGATGACAATTTGTAATCGGTTAACCGGTTATTCGGTCGGAACGATGGTAATCGGTTAGAAAATCTGTAATCGGTTAGTCGGAAAAAAAATTAATATATGCGTAAATATGAACACAATATCCCGAAAATTCATTCAAAAAATACAAAGAAAAATATCCAAGATATTTGTATTTTCATCCATATAAACAGGCCGATTCGGATATACTTAAGGCTGTCTGAATTGACAACGCGAGAGTAATTGGTCAGTTGTTAATTGCTGTTCAAACACCATGTCATTATCCAGTCTGACTTGTATAAATTTCTTTAAAGAATCCTTGAGTACTGTGAACTGATTATAATGTGTACCTAACCTGTACTATCCTTTGTAGTTAACTATTAAACAAGCGATAGTACATAGTTTTAAATATGGTGACAACCTGCCTGACATCTCTTTGGATTTTTTTAAAATGTTTATGATACTTTAGGGATGTTTCATGAGTATCTTTTTTCTTTTTCTTCTTTACTTTCTTTTTTTTTTTTTAAATTTTTATTGATTTATTAATTAAATTATTTTTTGCCTATTAAAATTGAAATAAAATATGTACTGTAATGGATATATGCCGAATACTGTTCTATATGTAAAATTATCAAACTGTGTGAGGCCCGTTAGGGTCGAAAACAGTCCGATAATTTTTACATATAGAATTGTATGAGGCATATATCTTACTTAAAACATTGCCATTTGAATGTCCAAAAGTTACCCGGAGGAGTCC